CACTCTTTCAGGCTATCAGTAGTATTTTTAAAACTGATCTCCTGTTGACAGTATATTACACAATAGATAATTCTTAAATAAATTTAAATTAGAAGATACCTTCTCTAGCTTGGCAGAAATGTTGAAAGTGGTTGCTAGTAAGCACACAAACTCAGACTTCCAGAATTTTGCTCACTGTTACCTAATCCATTATTTGCTCATCATAAATGACCTCACATCTAACTGTAGGCTAGGTTACCTTAGTGAATACTGTACAGTAATTTCTCTTACTCAATTCTAGTATATTGCCCAGAAAAAGCTAATAAAAATAAAATAGTATGTTTTATCCTTCAATGTTCTGATTGAAATTGGAACATAAACTAGTTCATACTTTCATAATTAAGAAGTATTAAGTATTTCACAAGTAAATATTTTCTAAACTCTTGTTTCTATACATGATTTGGAAACAAACCTAAAATTTTTAAATAGGTAAATATACTAATCTATATTTCAAGATAAAAGTAAAATTATTTAATTATGTACTCACCGTTATCCACTGATTTGAAAAAAATCATTCAGATTGTGATATTTAATAGATGCCTGAAAATAAATTGGACTACTTATTCATCTTGTAGCTATATTCCATTTACTCTTCATCCATCATTAAAAGGGGAATAGCTTCTTTCTATAGCAGAAAGATTCCAGAATGCTTGCAAATTTTGAGAATTTGTTGAAAGCAAAATGAAGTACTCTGATTCCCAGAATGAGACATTTCAATCAGTAGTTACTGAGGTCTTCATCTTAGTATCTTTACTAAAAGAACTAGAACCTAGCAGAAATTAATAAAAATATCCATAGAAGGTAACTTAGAAAATGCCATAGAGAAGACAAATTACAGTAGATCAAAATATATTTTTAAATTGCAGTGTACTTTTAATTGTAAATTTAAAAGATCAAGACATAATAGATTTTCATTTGGGTTAAGTAAAAAAGACTAAGTTGGTATGAACTTTTTGAATACACTGCTTTAGGATAAAAATCTAGGAAATAAGCTAAAATTTAGAAAAGAGTTATTCACCTATAACTGTAAATAAAAGAAAATAATAAAAAGAACTATGCATTAGAAGTAAATCAAGTAGAGAATAAAGACTTGACTAAAACCTTGGAAATAATAGCAATGATATATAGAAAAATCTAATATCTCAACTTTTGTTTTGCCCTACCTTCTAACTCTAGAATAACAATGTACCCATCTTAAGCACATAGGTTACTGGGAGAAACACCCCTAAGAAATAGCTTTAAGTGGTCTTTGCCTCCAGATAAACTTCCTCTCCACCTATGAACTTTTAGCTGCATTGGACTATTTTCAAATACTGTTACCAAACACCATTGTTGCATGATTACATTAACATCATGAGTAAAGCCATTGTGAGAACCCATGTTTTACACAGGGGAAAGCCTGAAGAAATGCTTTTACCTCTTGAAATTAGTTTTGAACAATTATGTTCCATTAGAAACAGCAAAAACACATCAAACCCAGAAGGGAATTTTTTTTTTACCTGTGCATTTTGATAGTGTTTAGAATGCCTGGAACCCTAATTTCTTCTTTTTTTCCAACTCTCTTTTCCTTTCTTTTCTTTCTACCCTTCCTCTCCCCCGCCACACACACCTTTTCCTTATTCTCTTCACTCCTTTCCTGTTGTGAAATTCATTCTAGTTTTTCAGGAAAAGCTATGATTATACCCAGGACGATTTTTTTCTCCCTGTAATGAGTAAAGAAGAGTTATGAGAAATTTGCTTGCACAGCTCAGGGTAGGCCTGAAAATTCCGTGTTTTTGTGTTGGCCAGAGTACACTCTGCACTGAATCTTTCATTTTGGGTTCATGCCAGAACACTAACACATGAGAGAAAAAAGTCTTTCTTCCAGTTTGTGTTAACACCACTTTAAGTACTGGGGCTGGTAGTCACTCCTTGCTGACTCTTCAGACTTATGAGAATCGGGCAAAGGGGTTGGCTGCTACCCATCAGAGAGAGGAGGAGGCCAGATTGTAACTGTGAATGGGTTCTGTGGCTGTCCCCTGCGTTGGACTCCCCTGTTTCTGCCAGAAGCTTTGCTCCAGGCACTGATGAAATCAAAGCACTAGAAATAGAGTGCTTCCTAAAAAATGGTTAGCTTTGCTGCTACTTTCAAACAGCAAGTGGAATGTTTTGGAAGATGATCTTTTCTCAGAAATGATGGAATGTCGGAACTAAAAGACTGTGGCAGTTTGGGAAATGACAGTTGAGAGTTGTGACGGTTATTTAATTGTTGTCTCCTTGAGACCAATGAAACAAGCTGCTTTTTAGGATTCTTCTGGAGGAACAAAGTCACTGGTTTTTGACTACAAAATGCTAAGACGTTTCTGGTCCCAGGATCTCACATCAGGTGTTTTCGCCCCCAACCCCCTTATTTATTTATTTATTTAATTTATTTTTCCTATGAGAAAATCAAAGTTAGCAGAAGAGAAAGTAAATACTTTTATACAGCAAATCTCTTCCATCCCTCCCCTCTGAATCCAGCAATCAAAAACCAGTGAATTTTTCGGAGGGTTATTTTATTCTTTGGGAATTTCCTTATACATGGATAACTCCAAGTGAGATATAGTCGTTTAATTTTATGAGGGCTAAATCAGGAAACTGCTGGGCAGTCTGATACCTGCAGATAAGACAATTATAGGAATGAGACCTGGGCATTGTCCAGACACATAAAAGATGGCAGTAATCAAAACTCCCCTACTAGCTTCAATGAGGTAGAAAGGCTACTATTACTAAATATTTAATATTTATTAATTTTTATTCAGTCATTGACTGTCATTACTTACCCTCCAAAGTTCTTCTGAGCAATAAGTCAAAGCTGTTTTTACCTCTGCAGGTGATTGACAAGTACTCAAGCCATTCGGACTCTGTTGGAGCTCATACTTAACTAAGGTAAATGAGGTTCCTATGAAAGATGGAGATTGAAAGCTGGATGTTGGTATTCGTGTGGTTTTGGATTGGTCTAAGGCTACATTTTGCATTCACTCTGGAAAAGACACCAGAACCAATTTTGACCATATTATGCCGCACAATGAGGCGTAATACAAACGGTAATTTTTCTTTTTTGAGAGGGTCCTAGATGTTTTAATTGTAGCATTTTCTAACATTTTTCCAGGGTAATTACTTTTCATTTCGCCTTGAGATGTCTCCGGATATTTCTAAGCTCCTACAGTGCTTCTCCCAGGAACATATGAAAGGGAACAGGCAAATCGGTTTCATCAAAATGGTGTTAAATCGCCACCTAAAATGACTCATTACTTATCACTTGATAGCATTTAATTTTCATAAATATCATCGGCTACTAATACACACACACCAGAAACGGATCTTTGTGTTTTCAAGGTCATCACAACCCTGAGGGACACTCGCGAGAGCACACACGGAGGTACCTTTTGCTTCCGCACTACAACTCCCAGAAGGCTCCGCGGCCAGGAAGCCGTTTCCGGGCGTGCGTCCCGGCCCACCTCTGTGCCGTGTGACGCGGGAGCGCGGCCGTTGGGCCAGCGCGCGGAATGTTCGTGGCTTGAGCAACTCGGCTGACTGCTGTGGATGTTGTCCTGGTACGGACCCGGCGCTGTTCGTAAGCGCGCTTTCCACTCGCACTGCCTGTGGACCCACCATGAGGCGCCTGGGCTCGGTGCAGCGGAAAATGCCGTGTGTGTTTGTGACGGAGGTGAAAGAGGAGCCTTCCACCAAAAGAGAGCATCAGGTACCGAGGAGCGCGGGGAGCGCGGGGCCCGCGGGGCGGCCGCGGGTGGGCTGCTCCCCGCGGCGCGGGCTGCGTTTGAACTCGGAGAGGGCTCCCAGGCGCGGTGGAGCCGCCCTGCAGACTAGGGGCGGGGGCGGTTTGCAGGTTTCGCTGGGGCGGTCTAGGGTACGGGTCTTCTCCGCCCCGAGCTCCAGGTTCTTGTACCTTCTTAGTTGCAAGGGAGGGAATCTGCGGGAGAATTTTTCTGATCCGGCAATTCAAACTTGCCATCGCATGGAAATTGAAAACCCGCATCTTAAATAATGTTCCTTTCTTCTTAGGTTACCACCTTTTGAGGAAAATCCCTTAAGTAGTCGTATAGTCACTGCAAAACAAGCTTTCCTACTTTTCACGAGTGTGGTGTCAAAGTGGAGATTTTAGAAGACTTGCTTCACCTGTTCAAACCAGGGAACCGATGACAGTGTTGACAACTAACCTAAATAGGTCACTAAAGATCAGACCTCGTGTATTGTTACCAGTAATTAACTACTTGATTCTAATTTTGGTGTTTCCATCTCAAGGTTTTCTATTCTCGCAGCAACGTGTTTTACAAATGGAGAGGGCCCTTAATAAATACTGGTGAATGATCCTGTATCAGGATAACTCTTTAATACATAGTAAAGTCCTTGATAGCAAAATGACCACTTATCGGTTGGGTGCTTCAACTCATCATACAGAATCAGCATGTGCATTTGACTCCACCTCCACTTCCCGTTAACATCGTTCACACTGGCCTTCTTGTCTCCCAGGCTAAAAGACTTTTAAGGCCAGGACTGCTGTGTTATTTCTAGTCCCAGTTTTTAGGACCTGACACATGGTAGGCACTGGATAAACCCTGGCGTCATTTCATGCCAGCTTTCCATTTACCTTGATGCTTTTTACCTTATAACATCTCGTTGCCACCGCTATTATAGTTCTTAATATTTTACGCCCTTATTGCACTATTGTTCTTTCTTGCCGCTGAGAATGACCATCATTATTCTTTCCTAGTCAAAACCCTGCAGTTACTACTAAATATCTGTAGCAGTAGTTGTCAAGCTTTTATTTTTTAAGCCCTAACAAACTTAATTCATACGAAACAATGGCATCCTGAACAGTGGTTCGCTCTAGCTGTGATTCTCAACTTTGTATGTTGCAGGTGGGAGGGGAGTAGTTTGTAAAAGCACTCTCCACCAGGAAAATAAGCCCCTTCTCTTGTCCCTCTGCAGTCAAGTATAGCTTATAGTGTTGTTTATAGCATAGCATTCAAATTCTTAATTGCAATTCAAGGATTCTCATTAATCAGGCCCAGTCGTAAAGTGCCTGTTAGGCCCACAATGAGGTGCCTGAGCTCAGTGTAGTGAAAAATGCCATGTGTGTTTGTGACAGAGGTGCCTACTTAAAGTGACATCTGTTCTAGCAAAGTCTGTTTCATCTTGTGAACATAGCAAGCACAATCTTGTCTCTATGCTCAGGCTACGCACTCTACCTGGATCACTTCCAGGATTTTAAAAATTTGGAATCAGAACTTCTGTATGAAATCTTTCATCAGCTTACGTATCCTGGTGATTTCCCCTACCAAGAAATTGTAGAGGACCACTCAGTTGATACTAGCTATTACTTTTTATACACACATGCCTTGTTTCCAGTCAGAGTTTAAAGACTTAAGTGACAGAGAAGGAGAACTTTGCGTACCCCTTGGTGTCTTATGCTGTCCTTTGGACATGTCAGTAGCATGGAGTGGTAGGTAATTCATTCTTATGGAAGGGATATTTGTCCTCATCAAGAACTCCATAAAGTCACCTCCTCCCTAGAATCTTTGATAAATTTAAACACATACACACACGAGGAGAGCTATTGGGCCAAACCTTGGTCCTACTGCCACAGGTTAAATTGATATCCTCTGATACCAATGTTATGTTACTGATAAATCCCTAGCCATTCAGCTTTATCTTAAAAACACTGAAACAGACGCTGAAACAGACTCTGAAACAGTACTTCATTTATTAGTCTTAAACCTATCATACCAGTATGTTTATACTGTAGTGTTTTTTCATATTATGTAAGGTGAGTATTACTTCAGATAATTTAGATTATAAAACAGTGGCATAGTCTTTTCTCATAAATGAAAATAAATTACAGATAAAAAGTTGGTAGGAATCCTAGAAACTGTCTTTTCCTCCATTCTTGATACTCTTGGCTTGTCTTCCTGACAGTAGAAAAACCGTAAGTTAAATATGCAAACAGTTCACTACTGATAAAGCTGAAAGGGTCCCCATTTGTTTTTCTCCTCAGCACTTATCATAGCTAACATTGTACTATACATTTTGTTGCTGTTATCATCTCCCTCCTTAAAATGAACCTTCCGCTAAAGGCAGGTCCCCAGTGCTGAGGACAATACTTAACCCATAGGAGGCATTTAGCAAATAATTGTCAAGTAAATGACTGAACACACATAACACCTGTGCTAGGGATGCAGCTCTGCATAGGACATGGTTCCTGTTGTCAAGCTTATTATGGTAGATAAAGAAACATGTGAATACAGTTGACCCATGAGCAATGCCAGGGTTAGGGGCTTGGATCCTACAGCAGTGGAAAATCCGAGTATAATTTGTGGTTGGCCCTCATATTCGAGTTTCCTCCATAACCAGGGTTCTGCATCCAGGATTCAACCAACCTTGAATGTGTAGTACTGCAGTATTTACTATTGAAAAAAAAAATCTGCATAGAAGTGGTCTCATGCAGTTCAAACCTGTGTTTTTCAAGTCGACTCTGATTACAAATCTGTGTGGAAAAACATGTATTGCTATGATAGCATAGAAGGAGAGTGGGTGATTTGTAAGAATGTCACAGGAGAAATATTTTGAAGGATAAACTGGTGATCATCCCTTCGAACTAGTGAAATTAAGAACTTCAAGGTAAGAGTGTGTGCGAAGGCATAGAGGCTATTTATCTTAAACCAGTTTTCTCTTTCTCCTTTTTAAGCCATTTAAAGTTTTGGCAACTGAAACTATAAGTCACAAGGCATTAGATGCAGATATACACAGTGCAATTCCAACAGAAAAAGTGGATGGAACATGTTGTTATGTTACTACTTACAAAGGTAATTATAAAACTGTACTACAAATATTACTTATTTTTCTTAGTCACTTAAACTGTATATATCTGAAATGGGGCATTGCTCTTCATAAACCCTTGGAAACTTAAGTGTAATAGGAAAATAATAAAATCACAATTGGTACATTATACTTATTTATTATATCATTGTATCTTTCTTTTGGGGGAAGAAGGAAAGATAACTAATATTTACTTAATACCCATTAAGGGCCAGACAGTATGATAAATGCTTTATATATGTTATCTCTAATTTGCACAATAAGCCTCTCCATTTCACAGAAAGGGAAACTGAAGCTCAGAGAACATAAATAATTTGTTCGAGACCATATAATTAATGAAGGCTCAACTGGTAATAGGGTTTATCTGACCCTAAAGCTTGTTATTCCACTGGTCCCAGTGCTGATTCCATTGTTTTTATTACTATTGGCAATGTCTCTAATTTATTTCATTTTAATGTACTTTAAACTCAAATAGAAATTGTCAGCTATGTTAAGGGAAAAAATGCATTGAAAAGAGAGAAATAATCTTTGTGATTTTTTTTCTGGATAGTGAAATTACCTCTCAATTCCAGCAAGAGAAATAGAACAGTTAAATGCATATTGAACACATTCTTTATATCAGGAAATCTCTTCTGAAGTGCATCTTTTTTCATGTTTAATTGTGATAAAATACATATGACATAAAATTTACCATGTTAACCATTTTTAAGTGTACAGTTCAGTGGTGTGTACAGTTCTCATCATTGTGCTGCTATCGACACATCCATCTCCAGAACTCTTTTCATCTTGCAAAACTGAAACTTCCTACCCATTAAACAACTCAGCATCCCCACCTTCTTCCAGACACCATTCTACTTTGTCTCTAGGGTTTTGACTACTCTAGGTAACTCATATAAGTGGAGTCTTAACAGTAGTTGTCTTTTTGTGGCTGGCTTATTTCACTTAGCATATTGTTCTCAAGAGTCATCCATGTTGTAGTACATGTCAGAATTTCCTTCCTTTATAAAAGGATGAATAATATTTCATTGTGTGTATATACCACAAGTTTGTATATACTACATAATTGTGTGTATATACCATTCATCCATCAGTGTGTACTCGGGATGCTTCCATCTGTTGGCTGTTGGGAACAGTGGTGCTATGAACATGGTGTACAGATATCTGAGTCCCTGCTTTCAGTTCTTTGGGGTATGTATCAAAAAATGGAATTGCTGGATCATATACTAATTCTTTTTAAAATTTTTTTAGGAACTGTCATACTGTTTTCTGTAGCAGCTGCACTATTTACATTCCTAGCAGGACTTCAGAAGGGTTCCAGCTTCTCCATATCCTCACCAACACTTGTTTCTTTCTGGTTTTTTTTTGATAGTAGCCATCTTAATGGGTGTGAGTGCAATGCATTCTTTTATGTTTATTGTGAAAAGAACAAAAGGTCCATTCAACAGAAATGACAGTGTAGTTTTAATCTGGTTCTTCATATTATTTATTGGTATAGCTAATCAGTAATATATAGTGCCTAAACCAAACTTTAATCAATAATTTTTAAGATAAATCTCTGATTTATATATTTGAAGAAACTGAAAGATTTTTTTAGACTTATATTAAGAAACTTCAGTGTGCATCATATGTGTAATCATGTATAATGGTAGCAGTTAAACAAGATTGGATTGCTAAAGAAAACTTACAGAATCCAGAGTGACAGTGCTTGCAGATTCACAGTTTATTACAGGTAAAGGATAGGCAATGCAGCAAAGGCATTAAAAGGATGTGCGTCACAACCAAAGACTCTCTCACAGCAAAGCATCTGGTGAGACCAGGTGAAAGCTTCTATGGTCCCCCGCCCTGACTCCTCCCCCACCTTCCTGACAAATCCAGGCAGGACACACTTTCTTAAAGCAGGGACCACCACTGATATAGGCAGGGAACACCTCAGAAACTGGGAATCTGAAATGGAGTCTCAGCTGGGGATTTTTATATTTTGCTGGCCATGAAGGTATCTTCCTGCTAAGTAACCAGCCTCAACATCAGCCCTCCAGGAGTCTCGCTGAGACCAGGTGCAACTCATTAGCCTCACTTGTCAATAAAGAGTGCTGGCACCGGCCCTGAAACTTCTCAGATCCCTGACTGTAAAGCATTGCTATTAATCAATGTTCAGTGCCTTGACCCCAGGGGTCAGAGCCATGCAAAACAGTTTAGTCTCACTCCACATTTTTGGGAATTAACCCTCATAGCACATAGTTCGGTTTCAGGGAAAGTGTGAATACAATTTTCTGGTTATGTTTCCATTTAGTATAGAGGTAGCTTCGGTTTCTCACAATTGCTAGTTTCTAATAAAATATGGCTGTGGAATGTCCTTATGAAAGAGTCACATTTGCTTTTTATCTCATCCCCATCACTCTCTAACCAAAGACTTAAGTCTTATACATCAGGTACGGTTAGGTAGGATGTCTGTTATACTGCTTATCTCCCTTTGTCTTCTGGGTTGCTTCTCTTAGAGGAGATGACTCCTACTGTTTATTGAAAAATTTTATACGGAAATGTCTTTCAAGATAAATTTTGTTTGCCTCTTAAACTTTTTTTTTCCTTTCATTATTTTTTAGGTCAGCCATACCTTTGGGCTCGGCTAGATAGAAAACCTAACAAACTAGCTGAGAAAAGGTTTAAAAATTTTCTACATTCAAAACAAAACTCTAAAGGTTAGTGGGTCCTTTTTTTTCTTTTTTTTTAAAGCTTTTCATGATTTAAGTTGAAATTTTTGGCTTATTTCTTGCTATGGTGTTCTTTATATTATATGCTTCTTTACAATTTAAGCACTTTGGGAAAAGAAAAAATTATAATTGAATATCTTTATATGTAAAAGCATATTCTTGAAAAATATTTCAAAATATTTTCCTAACTCTTCTGTGACTCTTCATTGTAGCACGTCCATTTTATTAAAACCTACAAATTATTATGTGTGTGTGTGTGTATATATATATATATATATATATATATATACACACACACACACATATATATAATGAGTGACACATTTTGGTTTTGTCTACCTAAGAGACAAATAGGTAATTTTATAAATCAGGCACAAATCTCAAAGGATTATTAATATTTTTAATTATTACAGTAGATACCTCTAAATATTATATAAGTAGATATATACATTTGTTGTTATATATCCACTCATTCATACATATAATCTTTATATATTTATATTCATAGTGCATTAAAAATTTACCATAGGGCTTCCCTGGTGGCGCAGTGGTTGAGAGTCCGCCTGCCGATTCAGGGGACACGGGTTCGTGCCCCATTCTGGGAAGATCCCACATGCCGCAGAGTGGCTGGGCCCGTGAGCCATGGCCACTGAGCCTGCGTGTCTGGAGCCTGTGCTCTGCAAACAGGAGAGGGCACAACAGTGAGAGGCCCACATACCGCAAAAAAAAAAAAAAAAAAAAAAAAATTTACCATAAATCACACATGCTGGAACATTGGTTGCTTTAGTTAGACTGTTACTGCTGTTACAGATAGTGGTGGATTCAAAATTGAAAATTTAAAGTGTTAGTACCTTAACCCTGAGAAGTAGACACATAGTGGTGGAGTGAATGGAGACTAATTATATGATACCTGACATTATGGGGTTCATTAGCTGTTCCCACTTTGAATTTGTTCAGTGTTATATATATATTTTTTAAAGTATCGCCACACATAAGATTATTTAACTCTTTTAGAATTTTTTTGGAATGTTGAGGAGGACTTCAAACCTGTTCCAGAGTGCTGGATACCAGCGAAGGAAATAGAACAATTAAATGGGAATCCAATACCTGATGAAAATGGACACATTCCTGGTATTATTATACATTCAATTGGAAATTACAGAACTTAATTTTAATATGGTTCTTCATGGTATTTATCTGTATAGCACAAATTTTCTAAGTCTAATTTAAGTTTAACGATACCAAAGATGTTTCATATCAAGAACGTCCTTTCAAGTTTAGAATCTTTTCTCAGGTGGACAGTTTACTACCTGTAGTCTGTGAAGATTAATAAAGCATTGAGTGTGGGAATAGCCTTGAAGTGTTGTCAGGATGACGGTATGTTCTAATCTGAAATTAAGCCTTTGACTTTTTAGACTGGGGATAACAATATGTATATATTTTTTGCAAAGATCTTAGAAGACTGTCTCGAAGGGAGGTGAAAATAGGTGTCTCACAGTAGTTTTTCTGGAGATGGGAAAATTTTGCAGAAGTGTGCTGAGTAGAAGGATAACTCCAGATTAAAAGAACCTATAATGTGCAAAGTACTCTTTGATTCTAGTAATGCAAAAGTGAGGAGGATCAGAACCTTTATCCTTGATGATCTTTTAGACAGTAGGAAAAATCTACCAATAATAGTATGATTTAAGAACTAAAAGGAAATAATACACAGGGTACAATTGGAGAAAAGAGGAAGAACTCCTAGTTCAACCTGTGGTGGTTAGAGGAGGCTTCTAAGGAGAGTGGACATTGAAACTGAAGCTTAAGAACCAGGAAGTTAGTTGGCGAGGGAAGGGAGAAGGTCAGCTTAGGCAAACTCCCACGAAGGGGAGAGATCATGGAGTCTTTGAGAAATTTTAAATAACACCTTATTGTGGCTGGAATGTTTAGAGTGTATGACACTTGAAGCTATAAAAGTAGAGGCTGGAGGTGTGGAATGGGCTCAGATCTTAAAGGGGTTTATATTCCATCTGAAGAAGTTTGAAGTTTATCCTGAAGATGATTATTAAGCGGAGCTACAGCAGAACTAAATTTAAATTCTTGAAATCGAATTACAAGGGAGATAGTAGATCAGCAAAGAGGTTATTATAGTAATCTGGGTGAATAATGAATGCCAAAGATGTGACGGTCATAATAGTGTTTATGCCCTAGTTTGTCTTTTTTTTTTTGGTAAGGAATTCTCCACAACAAAGAAGCCTAATCTGCCATCAGTAGTTAGGAAGGGAATAGCAGTAACATTCGATAAATGTAGAATCAATAAATTGTTCAATAAATACTGGAACAATACAGTAAATTGCGGAACACTTGCATCTGTCTGTCGTCCCTGAAACTGGAGAGAAGGTAGAGAGAAAACTTAATTTAAAAAAAGGTTTTGGTGCTGTGTCTTAGAATGGTGCTCAATATTTATTGAAAATGTGAATTTTCTATTAAAAGAATGCTGAGTGCTCTGAAGTGAATAATCAAACAGGTTAATTCCTCAGCAGAATCAAGAATGAGACCTTATGATTAAAGAAAAAGATTATGATTTACAAAGTAGTAAAACTGCTAACATTTCCACTGATGTTAAAAGTGATACCTGTGTGTGATAGAACATCCAGAAAATACAGAAAATTTGCAACAAAAATTAAAATTACCTTAGGTCTTAATCCAAAGAAAAACAGTGCAATAAAAAACACTTCTTTCTTTAAATGATAGGTTGGGTACCAGTGGAGAAAAACAACAAACAGTATTGCTGGCATTCCTCTGTAGTAAATTATGAATTTGAAATCGCCCTGGTACTGAGGCATCATTCTGATGATCCTGGTCTTTTGGAAATTAGTGCAGTGCCACTCTCAGATCTGTTAGAACAAACACTGGAGCTTATAGGAACGAATATTAATGGAAACCCATATGGTGAGTAAAGCCTTTTTTTTTGTTTAGTTACAGTAGTCACTTTTAAAGAAAACTTCCTAGGTTCAACTGAAAAAAAATACACACTAAAGAAATGACTAATAAACTTGAGTTATTTGTTTTGGTTTTTAGATTCCATATATAAGTGAAATCACACAGTATTTGTCTTTTTCTTCTTTCATTTAGCATAATATCCTTTAGGTCTATCCATGTTGTTGCAATTGGCAGGATTTCATTCTTTTTTTATGGCTGAGTAATATTCCATTGTGTGTGTGTGTGTGTGTGTGTGTATGTATGCATATGTGTATGTACACACACCCCATATCTTTATCCATTCATCTATTGATGGGCACTTAGGTTGCTTTTCATGGCTAGGTAATTAGTTTAGCATTAATTAACAGCTAGGAGTAAAGTAAATAAAAGAATTAGCAATGAATAGCATATCAAGCATTAGAATATACACCATGATGATTTGAGTACAAGTCCTGAGGGCACTATGGAGTATTGTTAACCCAGGGATGAAGACAGACCCAAGGTCATTAAAGCTGGAATAGCAAAATCGTATATAGGGATCAGAAGCAGACTAATTGGCAGATGAAAAGAATCTAAGACAGTAATTATACAAGTTATCAGATACAGCATGGCTGTTTGGTAAATACTGAATGATAGTTGAATGTGGCTAATGGTGTAGAGCAGCAGTTGGTGGACTTTTCTATAAAAGGCTAGACAGTAAATATTTAGGATTTGGGGGCCATATCCCTGAAACAGGCCATAGAGAGTAGTACTTAAATGAATGGGTTGGCTGTGTTCCATTGAAACAATTTATAAAAACAGGCACCTGGCTGGATTTAGTTGAAGGTCATCGTTTGCCAATTCCTGGTATAGAGCACACAAAGGTGGAATTTAGATTTAATGGGATAAGGTGCCGACTTTTGAGTGAGGGCACTTGTCTCTCTTCAAGGAATTAAACTTTTTGGTAAATTTATTCCTCAGTGTTTTAGAGGCTTTTTTTAATTTGGAGGGAGAAATTTCCTCATTCTTTTTGAAACTTCTGTATGGCTAATGGCAAAGTTTTACAATTTTAGGGTTAGGAAGCAAGAAGCATCCATTACATCTTCTTATACCACATGGAGCATTTCAAATAAGAAATCTACCTACTTTGAAGCATAATGATCTGTTGTCCTGGTTTGAAGGTTGCAGAGAGGGTAAAATTGAAGGAATAGTGTGGCACTGCAGTGATGGCTGTTTAATCAAGGTAATGGCAGAAAATAATTAGTGGGATTATGTCATTTTACGTTCTTAAAGTAGAAGTGGCACTAAAATGCTCTACAAATTGCAGTAATTCTGATATGTAGTAATTTAATTTCTTCATCTCACGTGCCACCATCTTTATATGATAAAGTTGTGTTTCCCAAAATGTATATATTCTTTGGGGCGTTGGTTCTTCTAGATGTGCTTCAGAATTAAAGTGATGAAAATGTCCGGAAAACCCTGCATACTATGCATTGCCTTCTTGGAAATTCATGTTGAACATTAGTGTTCTCTAAGACATCTGTACTAATAACTTAGTTTAACGCAGCATTTCTCAAAGGTACCTGATTATAGAATTCGTTGAGTTAAAAGAGTGCCAAGGTGACAGTTAATATATACAGAATGAATTCTTTTACCCTTTGCACCCTTTCTGTCTCCTGGACTTGTCTTTTTGATTTCACATAGGTTCTAGTTTGTAATGTTCAAAGCTGGACCCTAGTCCAGTTTGGACCAACCCCAACTCCAAACAATTCACTGAAGCCAAAAACTTAGATATCATTTTTAACCCCTCTCTCCATCACTTCCTACATCCAATTATCAGTTCTAAAAGATTCTCATCTGTTGCATCTGTGTACTTCTTACCAACCAATTGGCTGTTGATTTTAATTTAAAACAAGATCCATGCTTGAATTATTTTGTCACCCTCCTCAGCGTTATCTTTCAGTCTTATCCCTGTCCTGTCCATGCTTCACAAATGAATGAGAATACTACTTCCCTGCATGAAAGTGTTCAGTGACATGAAGATTTTTCACGATCTGGCCCCTGCTAAAATTTCCAGAACTCTTTACCCCCATCTCCCAAACACACCCACGCTGTATATGTTCTTAACTAAATGCAACCAGAGCAAAAACACGATTCTATCACACGATATTTCTTTTGGTTAGAATGCCTTCCGCCCACATTTTTCAATTGGCTAACTTCTACACTCAGTAATAGACTCTATTATTCATTACATTTTTATGGAGCCCCTGATTATGTTCCTGGCATGTTCCCAGGTGCTGGAAATAGAGTCAACAAAACAATGTCTCTGCCTTCATGAAGCTTACATTCTAATGGGGAAGATAGACAATAAGCAAGTAAATATGTAATATGTCAGGAGAACAGCTATGAAAAAAAAAAGGGTAAGATGACATGGAGCCTTAAATAGTGCCTGGGAGATAGTAGGCACTCAAAAGATTTGTAAGTGAATGAAGATAATACAGGCTAAAAGCTAATGCCCTTTTTTTCTTTTCAGGTCCATCGCCATCATCTTGGTTTATGCTGGCCAATCCCAGATACCTATATGAATTCAAAACCAGTTATTATCAACATGAATCTGAACAATTATGTGTATGCCTTTGATGCTAAGTGTTTATTTAATCACTTTTCAAAAATAGATAATCAGAAATTTGGTAGGCTCAAAGATATAATACTCAATGTATAAACTGGAAATGCAATTAAAAACCAGCTTCTTTGTTATTATATTTCAATATTGAATATTCTGCCATGTTTAGAAGGTAAAAATATCTGTTTCTATTTATTGTTCAGTGTCTAATGTAGCATCATGTCTTCTAGCATTTGAAGAAATGAATTTCCCACCTGCAAATATCTATTCAAAATTTTATTGAGAAACAGCAAGTGAGTTTTAACCTCTGGAATTTAAAATATAATAGTAAGCTGCCCAGTTTGTACAAAGGTTAGATTCAGTCCATTATACATGGGTAGTAGCATAAAAGACAAACCAACAATTCTGGACCATTTACTTTAAAAATTAAATAGTTTAAGCTGAATATAATAGTGCTAGACATTTAAGAAAACTTATGGCTCAACTTCATAATGTATTTTTATCTATATATATACACACACACACACATATAATAATTTGAGAATACAAAAGTATATATAAAACCCCAGTTTTAAATGTTTAAGAAACTTAAAACATTATGAATGTATAGGAATTCACCATAGCTCATTGCCTATTTGACAGATACAACTTATCCTAAAAGTCTTCAAAAATACACTTTTCTAATACGTTGAAATTTTTGTATAATTTTATTTACTAAAAATTCCAATTTAGGTAAAGGTACAAGGTATTGGGAAGGAAATCATGTAGGTCAGAGACTTGCCTGATTTCCAGATGGAACTTCCAGATGGAATTTTAACTTACAAAGTTAATAAACAGTTAGATAAAACTATAGTTAGAGGTGGCCCTTAGTATATGGGAAATTAACAGGATTTTCCTCCTCTTCATCTTCAAACTGTTCAGAAGCAGCAACAGGACTAGTTAATTCAACTCCAAATTGTTCAGAAAGCTTTTTTAACTTCTCTTCTAAGAGAATATTTTTTTTCACTTCTTCTTTGTAATTATACTTCAGATCTTCGATTTCTTCAAAAAATGAAGGATCAAAATTTTCCAGTTCTTTTTTCAGCTTTTTAATTTCCTCCTAATAAGAACATATTATCTTTAAAAGGTATATATAGGAAAAAATACATTCTTTAGGTGTGAACTAAAGAGGTTAATTACAAACATGAAAGCCAAAGTAACCTGAATAGTCAAATATACGGCAGAAGTATTTTCTTAAGATTTTATTAATAAGGTTTCATTGTATAGTGTAAGTAACTAACTTGTTAACTGTCAAATTATTTGTTCTCTAAGTTATGTCCTGGTCTTGGACTAAAATTTATCAGCTCTTAAATCAGAGGGGATTTAATCTTTCTCCAAAAGAATATGAAGATACTCTCAATGAGGCAATCAAAAAACTTGGCTATTCACAACATTGAAGTTATTTTGGTTAAGATTCTTTGGTTAGGCTTTACTTGTATTTTCTTTACAAATACCTAATTCTCAATGAATAATGGTCACTTGTTATAAATATATTTATGATCAGGTAAACTGTTGGGCTTCTGCCTGGCTAAAAGTTAGGCATCTGGTAAAGAAACAATTTGAGCTTTAATGACCATGTAGAATAGCCAGTGATCACTAGTTAATTTTCATATTTATGCTCTTCTGTTTACAGATTATTAAAGAGATAAAGCATATCAAATATCTTTCTTTAAGGGAACTATTCCTGAAAAGAATTTCTAAAGGAAATAAAAGACACTTCCCAATGTGACCCAAAACTTCGAAAAACATTAAAATAATGAGCTATATTTGTGACAATTAAAAATAATTTACTCTTTAATCCTATTTGTCTCAATTTTTTGATGGTTCTGTTTTAATAAATATTTTTAATACAGTCAGATGAATATAATCAACTTTGTAATATCAAGGTTAAATGTAAGTATAAAATGTGATCCCAGGAATATTTAGGATACATACTTAAAACTTAGAGATGGTGAGCATAAAAACAGTTTTCAACAGCTGTTTTCACAAAACATTTATAATACTATAATTAAAATAGTTACCTTCAAATGCTGCTTTTCTAGATCTGAGGTTTTGAGCTGTGTCTCTAGATCTTTGACCTTTTCCTTTAGTTGATCAGGATCTGCCTCCAAAAAAGTGAAAATTAGACTAAGCTTTTCCCACTCTGAATAAGTTCAAGATAAAGCATTTATTTTAGAGGATAAGGAGGAAATTTATGAAACTAGAGCCTGGAAAATGTTGTCTTTTATGGTTGAAACACTTTTCAGGCTGTGAATTCTGTATGCTACCTCTATATCAGGTATTATAATTCCATAAGCAGACAAAGAGAAGAGGCATATGTTAGGTGTTTGTTAGACATATAGATCCAGGTTGGTTTTTTACATGGAAGAAACCATTATTTTCAGAGAAAAGTTCTAGAACCAAGAAAATTTGTTAGGTGCTAATAGTACAACATTAGAATAAGTAGACTATTAGGGAAGGGGCTACAACCATAAGGTGGCCAAATGCTCCTGTTACCCAACCGCTTTGACTATTCCGTGTACTTCAGTGCGTATTTACTGTAATTATTGGGTTGGCCAAAAAGTTCGTTTGGGTTTTTCCGTAAGATGTTATAGAAAAACCTGAACGAACTTTTGGGCCAACCCAATACTATGTGAAAAATGTGCTGGGCAGGATGGATAACACAAAGATGAATAAGTCCTGATATTTTGGTAGGAAAACATAAAAAGCACAAGGGCTTTAATTTATTGATTTCCCTCAGAGTTAACATATCTCTAATTTTATAATGAGAATCAATGGACAATAGTATTTTTGCTTTAATTGCCGTCTTTGCTAGAAACATACTTTCTTTAAATTGCATATAATGTGTCATGTGGTCATATTTTACATCCATTGAGGGGTAAAATTTTTAAAATAATGCTGAATTTTGAGAAAATAATGGTAAGCAAATACATTTTCATGAATGGGACAGGAAGCATATTCTATTAAGGTGAACTTGGAATGGTCCTCCAATTACTGTAAGTTGGAGACAAATATTTTCCTCGTACTTTTCAAAGCTTCCCTCACCTCTGCAGAAAGTACTAATGATTTTTTTACAGAGTTGATTTTTGATCACTGGAATGCTATATTGAGTTGTCTTAATCAGTGGGATGCTATATATTACATAGATTGGTAATGAAATTATGCAGTAAAAGTGATTATTATTATGTATAGCACTTTCCAAAAGTTAGCTTAATGATCACATATACTTAAATAGTGCTTTAAAATTTCCAAAACAGTTTTGGTTTGATTTTGAGCCTTAACAGTCTTTGGTAGATATCCTTATTTTTAAATAGAAGATGAGGAAATGAGGGTTCAGAAATTCCCTCTCGGGAAACTGAGGTTTAGAAAGAGAACTTGCCTAACATCATCAGCATTAACTGCTCTTTGATGCTGTGTCTGGTTTAGTACACCATGCTGGCTGCTGGAAGAGATGTTATCAAGAGAGGTTTATGTATGTACTTCTAGTCACCAAGAGAGGAGGCAGTCTAGTGGTCAATAGCAGGAAATGGCAAGGAGCTTTGGAGTTTCACAGATTTAGGCTTCATCCTGCCTCTGCCACTTCCTAGCTGCTTTGAATCTGTTTAACACAGGTAGAATGGAGACAGAGGTACTCAAAATTCAGGGCTATAAGAATTAAATTATAAAACGCTTGTAAAGCATTTAGCACAGTGTCTGGAATGACTCATACATGACAGCCTTAATACAAAGTAGCAACAAGACTACTTGGTAGGATATTGAAAAGCTATGTGAAATAGTCAAAAACTGTTTAGATATAAATTAGTATAACCCTTTGGAACAGAATTTGGCATTTTCATAAAAGCTATCAAATACAATATGCATACAAACAATCGATTCTTATTATTTGCAGTAGTTATGTTCTATAAAGTCAACATGAACAATGAATTAGTGAATACTGAACCACTGCTCTTAGGGAAAATAAACCTACATACACATACATCTCACATAGATTTCATAATCTTAAATCCTGGAAACAACTCATCCTGGTAGGTCTTATTTTCTTTGTTATACAGGAGAGAACAAGGTTCGGAAGTATCAAGTGACTCCTGAGGCTGCCCTAATGACAGGCATCAGAGCTGAAATTTAAACCCAGTCCAGCTGGTCCCAGAACCAGAGGTTCCTGCCCTGTGCAGCAGTGCCCCCTGTTGTCTCCTCCTGTGGTCATCCTTGTATGAGAGCTGAAACAATGCAGAGCATCACCTTGCTGAATCTCATCTAGGAAAGTGTGGATCATAGAACTTAAATTTTTCACTGCTCTGTGTGTATGTCTGCAAAAGTACCACACAGTACTGATTTGGGGTTACAAGTAAATTTACTGAGTAGGTGAATATGCAAATACAGAATCTGCAAATAATGAGGATCAACTATTCACTGTATGTGTGTTCACGCATATACATATACATTACATACATATGTGTATATGTGCATACCTATGCACACAGGAACAGGGGAATGATTAGTAATCACTTCTGAATGTAAATGGAAGAGGGTAGAAGGATAGACTTTTTTACTTTGTAAAAGGAAAAAAAAGGATATAGGCAATGTTTACTTATATACATGTAGTTTTTAAATTAATAACAAGATGAAAGTAACATTTAGAAGAAAATGTTCAAAGGGCTTAAAAGGGCCTATATTGAGAAACTGGAAGCAACAGACCTAATATTTATTACTTAGCATTGTATCATGGTTAAATCTGTAACATCCAGATGGAATACAAGGAGAAAGACACTTGAATACTTGCTACTCAATATTACAGACAAAAGGGCTCAATGGGAATATTGTTTCGTGGAAGACAGAGACAGCTTTAAAAACTTAAATCAAGGATTTGATTTTATAAAAGGAAGACAGTTATCAGAAATGTGTGAACAAACAAGAAAGGCAAACCCTAATTCAAAAACTTGGGTTATCTAACATGCTATGAGTGTTAAAAAATATACTACCGGGTATGGTGCTTTCAGGTCCATTCTGGTCTTTGTTAACTTCTATCTGATGGATTAATTCTTCTTTTTCTTTTTCCAGCTGACTATTAGCTAATCTAGAACACAATGATAATGTGTTAAAAAAAGGCAAACAGACATTGCTCCACAAAATGCATGAGCATTTCTTTAATTGTGTGATGTACAGTGCTTAGAACTTGCTGATATTTATAAAGGTAAACATTTGTCCATTTACTCTTCCTGCTGCAATGCTACCATTCTCAGAGATCAGAGAATCAAAATCCTTCATGTTCTTAAAATCTGATCTGATGTCATTTTCAAGAGTAGTTTTTCTCTTGCAGCGAGGAGCCTCACAAAAGTTCGCTACACAGAGCCTTGGAAGATTATTTTTCCTCATTTCAATTAACATTTGCCTTTGGAAGCTAAGGT